CCCAGGCTGGAGTGCAGTGGTGCAATCTTGGCTCCCTGAAACCTCTGCCTCCCAGGCTCAAGCAATTCTCCTGCCTCAGCCTCCCAAGTAGCTGGGACTGTAGGTGCCTGCCACCATGCCCATCTAATTTTTTGTATTTTTAGTAGAGATGGGGTTTCACTGTGTTAGCCACTATGGTCTTGATCTCCTGACCTCGTGATCCACCCACCTCAGCCTCCCAAAGAGCTGGGATTACAGGCGTGAGCCACTGCGCCCGGCAGAGTCCACCAATTCTGTGGCCCCATTATCTCCGATACCCAGGTCCATCCTCTTCCAAGTAGCTGGGAAGTGAGGGGTTCTTAAGAGGACAGGAGGAGGTTCCTTAGTGCCTCTCTGGTTCCTTAGGGAGAGAACGTCTTTTTTGTGGTCACCAACCTGATCGTGACCCCCAACCAGCGGCAGAACGTCTGTGCTGAGGTTTGATTTGGCGAGGGGCCTTGGCGTGGGGGTGGGAGAGCCGCCGGCAGTGGTTGGGTCTACTCTTCCGAAGCAGAGGTGTCTCTGCACTCCAAGGGTCCGGGAGGCTGTGTGCGCCCACGTGTGGTTCTGGCATTGTATGGGGGAGAAGCAGGTTCTCAAAGAGTGTGTGGCCCCAGGCGTCAGAAGAACCCCTGTTCTAACTCCTGGAGTGGGACCTGGCTCTGAGCTGGGGAACCCCCCCAGTCCAGGTGCCCCTTCTCTCCTGGCAGAATGAAGACATTCCTGATGGCGCATGCTCCGAGGACAGTGACTGCCACCCAGGAGAGGCGGTTACAGCTGGAAACGGTGAGGGCCTGGGGTGGCCGGGGGCCAAAGGATGACCCGGAGTGGGAGTCGCCTGGCACTGATCCCATCCCACCCTGCAGGAGTGAAGACGGGCCGCTGCCTGTGGAGAGAGAACTCGACCAGGGGCACCTGTGAAATCTTTGCCTGGTGCCCGTTGGAGACGCGCTCCAGGCCGGCGTGAGTGACCGCAGGCCCAGGACCCCGGGGAGTTTCCTGGCCCTGTGCGGTGGGTCCCAGCCTGAGGGTGGAGTCCTGGCCACCCTGGGAGCCGTGTGCTGAGGGAGAAGTCAGGCTGTCCCAGCAAGGTCCGAAGACCTCCCCAGCAGAGCAAATTCACTGTCTTTGGGCAGAGGCTCCTGGGGACCCATGGCCCAGGCCTGGGGGAGGGGCGCGGGGTGAGGCCTCCTGGACAGGCTGTTCTGGGTTGGTTTTCAGGGAGCCATTCCTGAAGGAGGCCGAAGACTTCACCATTTTCATAAAGAACTACATTCGTTTCCCCAAATTCAACTTCTCCAAGTATGTGGGCATGGCTACGGGGGGCCCCTGGGCTAGGCCTCGGGTCTGTGCGTGGTGGGGTGTGCCTGGGGTGTGTGTGTGTGTGCACGTGTGTGATGCATGCGTGTGAATGAATGGTGGGGAACGCTGGGGCGCCCCTTCCCCCTGCTGTAAAGTAGGGTGCTGCTGGGGGAGCTGTCGGGACCCAGGTCCGGCCAGGGACCTTGTGGCTCCTGGCCAGGCCCGGGAACATGGAATCCTACCTGGTTTCTCCGCTGCACGCGGCCTGCACCCAGGAGCAATGTGATCGATGCCAAGGACAGAGCGTCCCTGAAATCCTGCCGCTTTGGACCCAAGAACCACTACTGCCCCATCTTCCGCATGGGCTCTGTGATCCGCTGGGCGGGGAGCGACTTCCAGGATATAGCCCTGGAGGTGGGTGGTGTGCACTCGGTGAGCCCTCCCGGAGGGCCTGGGGGCTCTGGGCCGGGCTCTGCATCGAGGAGGGTGTGTGGCCGGGGACTCCTGGGGTGAGGGTGGCCCTGCAAAGTCACCCACCCCCAGGGACGCACTGTTTTCAGAATGAGCTGTGACCCAGCCAGGCTGCGGCAGCGCTCAGGCCACAGGCACTCAGTGAGGGCCAGACTCAGCACCTGCTATGCAGTTCTGAGTCCTCAGGGCCTCTGCTGAAGGGGAGCCACTCGGAGCCCATTGGCGCATCCTGGCGGGAGTGTGAGGCGCTGGTCCAGAGGAGAGGCTCACCCTGGGTGGCTCCCTTCCCCTTGAAGAATGAAGGAGGCAGCCCCGGGGCTGGGCGATGTGGTGGTCTCAGCCCCCCTGTGGGTGGGACTAAGCGTCCCGGAGGGGCGTCCCGAGTGGCTGACCTCATACCTGAGCACCTCCTCTCGTCCAGTGCTGGCGAAGGGCCAGCCTGTAACACCGTCCGTCTCCGGAAAGCTCCTCGCGCTGACCCTTGTCTCTCTTTTATCAAGGGTGGTGTGATAGGAATTAATATTGAATGGAACTGTGATCTTGATAAAGCCGCCTCTGAGTGCCACCCTCACTATTCTTTTAGCCGTCTGGACAATAAGCTTTCAAAGTCTGTCTCCTCCGGGTACAACTTCAGGTAACCGCAGCCTGTGCCCCCTTGTGACCTGACCATGATCAGTGGCACTCCTCTGGGTGCCAGCATGATGACACCCCTTCCTGGGGGTGGGTGTCAGAGCAGGAGGTACAGGGACAGACGGCCAAGGAGAGGTGGGGACTCCAGCAGAATGGCCGGCTACTGAAGCTGGGGGTGCCTCGGGGGAGAGGAGTGTGTGCTCTCGCCTGTTCTCTCCGTAATGCTGAGGCTTGCTGCCTCTGCGGTGTTCTTTCCACCAGCGCTTTGGCGACCTGGGGGGTTGCTCAGAGTAGGGCAGGAAAGCCTCGCTCCCTAGGAAATTCTGGCAGGGATTCCAGAGCTGCATGAGTCTTGGTTTTGGCTCAGTGAGAGGGTCTGCACGCCTCTCCTGGGGCTGCTGAGAGTCAGAGTCCCAGGAGTCCTCCAAAGTCCCCGGAGAAGACACATCTGTGCTGCCCAAAGAGGGAAGGCCAGGCAGGCTGAGGCCTCCTCTGATCTGTCTCCCTCAGATTTGCCAAATATTACCGAGATGCAGCCGGGGTGGAGTTCCGCACCCTGATCAAAGCCTACGGGATCCGCTTTGACGTGATGGTGAACGGCAAGGTGTGTGGGTTCTCCTATTCTGAGGCTGGGCAGGGTGGGGCACGGGACATTGGGAGGGGCCCTGGGGACCCTGCTGTCCACCCAGCCTCATTCACTCGCCTGTCTCTATCTTCCAGGCAGGGAAGTTCAGCATCATCCCCACTGTCATCAACCTTGGCTCTGGGGTGGCGCTCATGGGTGCTGTGAGTACCTCCCCTCCTTCCCCGCTTCCCACCCTCTGCCCTGGTGGCAGCATGGCAGGGAGAGGGAGGCGCAGCTCAGGAGAAACGTGTCCCAGTGCCCCCAGAAAGAACCAGAGCTGGCAAGAACAGAGTGGCCGTGGGAAAGAGGGCTTTCTGGGGGTACACGCCCTGCCAGTGGTCCCCAGGTAGCAGCCACAGCAGGGGGGCATCTGCCTGTAGCTCTGCAGCTGTGGGTGGGTTTGGGTCAGTCCCCAACCAAGGCATGGCTGGGATGTCCCCGGGTTCCCACATGAGTCCCCGAGCTTCCAAAGTCTCCATCTCTACTTCCGCTAAAAGAGGGCAGTGTTAGGCTGAGGTTCTGACCTGGGTGCTACTGACTTTTGGGGCCAGATAATTCCTTGTTGTGGGCCTAAGCGCGTCCTCTGAAGTGCCTGGAAACCTTCCATAGTGCACAGGGGCGGTTCTGGCTGTTGTAGGATGTTCTGTTTATTTGTTTTCTATTTCATATTTCACACTTTTCCAGTCTAATACTATGTATTTTCCTAGACCCTGAGGATGTTGATTTCGGAGACAGGGTCTTGTGTGTTACCCAGGCTGGCGTGTGGTGGGGTGAGCATGGCTCGCTGCAGGCTTGAACTCCTGGGCTAAGCATTCCTCCCGCCTTAGCCGCCCCAGTAGCCAAGACTGCACGTGCACTACCACACGTGGCTAATTTTTAAGTTTTTTTGTAGAGATAGGGGTCTCACTATGTTGGCCAGGCTGGTCTTGAACTCCTGACCTCAGGTGATCTGCCTGCTTCACCCTCCCAAAATGTTGGGATTCCAGGCGGGAGCCACCTCGCCCAGCCCATTGTAAGATGTTTAAGAGCATTCCCAGTTTCTGCCCACGAGATGTCAGGGGCACCCTCCCCTGCAGTTGTGATGACCAAAAATACCCGATAGGAAGCAAAATCCCAGCTGGCTGAGAACCAGCCAACTCAAAGGCTGAGAGGCAGGGAAGACGGCCCTGTGAGAGGCGGCCTTCAGCAGGGCCAAGGGGCGCTCACAGGAGAGGAGGCGCAGTGGCTGAGGGCAGGGAGGGGTGTCCTGAGTCTGCTCTGCCCCTTGGTCCTGCCGGAGGTTTTGAAAGCCAGGGCAGTGGTCAGTGGGTGGCTGGTGCCCATCCCAGCAGGTCCCTTTCCCAGGTTTCCAGCAGCTTCTTCCCTCGCTCCTCTGCCTGTGGACACAAAACAGCCCCACTGGCGGAGTCCATTGGGACCGGGGGTGACTTTTGTTGATGTGGGGAACATTGTGTCCTATACCAGGACTCAAAGAGGCCACGCTCCTGTGAGGGGGTCGAGGAAAGTAGCCCCACATGGATCCCTAACTGCAGGCAGCACCGCAAGGGGCCTGGATCTTTGCGTCTGTTACTTTCTTTTTTTTTTTTTTTTTT